ACTTAATAGTATTAACAGTAGTTAATACTTAACATGTCTTAAGGGTACACATGTTGATAATCCCTAATCCAAAATGTTCCAGTACCTTAAACTTTTTGAGCGCCAGGAGGATGCCACAAGTGGAAAATTTCATATATGACCTCATATGACAGTCAAAACATTACAATACAAAAATGTATAAAATTCAAGGCTGGCAGGTGGCATGGTGGTTGAGGGTTCTGGACTTCCACATGCCCAACCACGGTTCGAGTCCCAGACCTGGCAGCTTGCTTTCTCATTTTCCCTCTCTCTCTGTCTCTCTCACACACACACACATTCTGTTCCTCTCTGGTCAAATTAAAATAAAAAATGGAGTTAATTTTAAAAATTCTTTTAAAAAAATGTATAAAATTCAGGCTATGCATTTATGGAATAAATGAAAGTGAATTTTGTATTCAGACTTGGACCCCCCCACACAAGGTATCTCAAATATTCCAAAATCCCCAAATTCCAAAGCACAAAACACTCTGGTCTCAAACATTTCAGATAATGGATGCCCAACCTGCATTATGTATCAGGTATTACATTATGCAATCATTTAGCCTCTCAATAATTCTGTAAGTATTAGTATTTTTTTAATAAGATATGCTAATAAAAAATGGGAGAAACAGATCTCAAATCAGGTCTATGAGACTCAAAATGCAGGCTCTTAACCAATATACTATCCTAAGAACTTTCACAATAAACAAAGACAGATTTATCACCAAATACAGTGCAAAAAAGAGTTTCATTGAGGCAGGTCTTCAGACTACACCCCCAGAAACATGGAATAATTTTAGGGATATTTCACTGGGGGCAATTTTTTATTTTTTATTTTTATTTTTTTTGTTGTTGTTAGAGGGATTATACACTTGCCAGAGAAACAAAGAAGTAAAGTGAGAAAGCACTACCCTTGTGAGAGGATCACACCAAAGTCCTTTCTCCTCCATTTCTCCATTTAGGATTTTAAGCACATGCACACAATGCCTGGGATGTTTTTCAAGCTGCCAGGTCTGGGATTCAAATTACACAGTTGGCCGTGAGAGATCCAACAGCCTATACTCCATGACAGCAGCTGGCCAAGGGGATTTTTTTAAGTACTACACATTACTATAAAGCTTAGAATCCATCTTAGCTCAGAAAACAATTTCGCTCAAAATTAGATGAGAAGAGGAATTTTTATGTTATGTATGAACATTACAAGATAGACTTCTTTTTTTTCTTTTTTTTTGAGAGGTTTTTGCTATAGGGTGCATACGCTCGCCAGACAGAGACAGACAGAGAGACAAAAAGCAAACGCACACACACGCGCCCGGTGTGAGTTTAAGCCACCGGGTCTGGGACTCGAACCGCGGTCGACTATGTGGGAGTCCAGCAACATAGCCATTACGCTAACTGCTGGTCCCAAGATAGACTTTTTTTTTTTTTGAGAGATTTTCACTGTAGGGAGCATGCGCTCGCCAGACAAAGAGAGACATAGAGACAGAAAGCAAGAAATCACCCCCCGGGGGGATGGTCACGCCGCAATCCCTTCTCCTCCATTCTCCTCTCGGGATCTTGGGCACGCACGCACACGCGCCCGGCATGAGTTTTAAGCCACCGGGTCCGGGACACGAACCGCGGTCGACTACGTGGGAGTCCAGCGACATAGCCATTACGCTAACTGCTGGTTCCCCCAAGATAGACTTCTTCACCAAGGTCCTAGATCAGTGAAAAGACCTGTAACTTTGTAAAGGTAGAGTTTCAACCTCCTCCTTTCCAATATAACACAGAATTTTCTATATCCTTGAACTTTATTACCAACCATAAATCTTATTAGTTGATGATTCTAGAAAAAAGAAAAGTTGTACATACAGAATTAAAGCAAATTGAGAGCTTTTTATACCATTTTTTAAAAGTATTTCCAGCAATTTCTCTTTGTCTGTAACATTAAGAAAATAGATGAGTTTATTAGACATGAGTAGAAAGTTTTTTAAAGCGTTATATGCTTCACAACATAAAATCTGCCAGTAATGTATGCCCCTAAGCAATCAAACCATAAAAGGTTTATTTACATTAACTATAAAGGGGATAGGATTGGCAGGGCTACATTACCTTTTGGTCTGTGGTTACCAAATTCACTGGGAGCAGGGACTTTAACAGGGGTTGCTGAACTCTGAATGGTCAGCACACTAGGAGTGGCAGTAGTAGAGTTGGCCTTTGGTCTTTGTCTTGGTGCAATTGAGGTTTCTGTTGGTCCAATGGTATCTGTTATTCTAAAACAGAAGAATACACTTCATTCCAAACACTGGGACTGTTTCACATTTATCATTAATTCTATAAAGCATCTAATTCAACAGATGCATTTTAACTATTATCAGTTCTCACTTTAGTCCTCTTGGCTTCCTTCTACATCTCATTCTCAGGTATGAAATAAGAAGACGAATTTTCAAAAATCAACCAATTCTCTTAAAATAGAACAATACTATTTGAACTCTTTCATTAAAGCTGGCAGAAAAAAAGAGAGTATAGTCTCAGATTTTGCGCTTAAGGAGATGAAATGAGATTGAAAGGAAACAAAAGCCGTCACAGAAGAGTCAACGATCTGAACCAGTCAGAAATATAAGAAACGACAAGAAATAATCTGCCTTAGCTTAGAATAAAGGTGTAAGAAAAGACTGCACCTTAGAGTACGTAAAACAAAAGAAGCCAGAACTTTTAACAGGTGGAGCCATCTGCGCACATTCAACTTCTTCAATTCTTAAATTTGCTTCATTGAGAACACTGGATGTAAATTATATAAAACTTTTCCTATTAGGTCTTAGTTTAGGCCCTTGATGTGGATGCTCAAGTGGTAAGCACAGTTTGGAAAGAAAGAAAGAACATTACTTGAGAATACAGAAGACATTTGCTTTTATTTTTCAAAATAAGCCAGGTAAAATCTTTAACTTAACATTTTTATGAACTTGCTTTGTATAAATACAAACACTCAAAATACTTTTTAATAGGGTCATATGTTCTCTTTCCAACAAATTTGAAATATAATCTCTTTATTAAGTTCCCTTACCATATTTTCAAGTGATTTAGTACTTTAAAATTATATATATATATATGATTTATCAAGCGCACATCAGAAAAAGCCCAACATACAACTCCACAGTTCTTTCCTAATATTTCTATGTACCACAAGAGGGAGCTCAGTTAACAACTATCTTTGAAAGAGGAAAGAAAGAAAATGGAATTAAATCATAAGATTTTTAGAAAATTACAGAAATGTGTGTGCTTCCTAAAAATAACATTTGTAGGTGGGACAGGGATGGTACAAGTGTTTGCACTAAGAGGCAATATAATCAAATATCTCTCTTTTATTTTAATTGTCAGAGGGTATATGTATTCTTCAGAAAAGATGGAAATGGAGAGAGGGAGAAAGCACCCCAAAAAGGGAGTGGTCATACAGTACCTGCTTCTCCATTTCTCCACCCCGCTGGAATCTTAGGTACACATACATAGGCTCTAATCATATTTTTCAAGCAACTGGGGCCATGATTCAAATCAGAGTCAGCCATGGAATCCAGTTCCCCTCATCATTAGGCTTAATTGGAATCAATTAAATCTCATTTTTAATAAGTATATTGAGTTCAAAATATCAATTTAGTACTCAGACCAATGCTGTAATTCCTAAACTGAAGCAATTGGAAGAAATCTTGTCTCCAATCTTTTTGTTTCACTATCCACTATTTGTTAAGTAAATTTACTTTGCCTTTTTCTTGTCTAAATCATTCTTTATAGATTAACAACACACATAAGCAAAAACTCTAAAAAACACATTAAAAGTCTGCAGGGACCAGCAATTAGCGTAATGGCTATGTCGCTAGACTCTCATGTAGTCGACTGCAGTTCGAGTCCCGGTCTCGGTGGCTTAAACTCACACCGGGCGTGTCTGCGTGCGTGCCCAAGATCCCGAGAGGAGAATGGAAGAGAAGGGATTGCGGCGTAGCCATCCCCTCTGGGGGGGTGATTTCTCGCTTTCTATCTCTATATCTCTGTCTGTCTGTCTGGTGAGTGCACGCGCCCTATAGCAAAAACCTCTCCAAAAAAAGAAAAAAAAAAAAAAGTCTGCAGACTTTTTTCAATCAAATGTCCATTTTGCAAATGTATCACTATTTATTGTACATTTACTGATATCCAGAAAAACACTGCATATTATGCCAATTTCCTTTTTTATAAGTAATTATTTTTATTTAACTTTTATTTATTATTATTATTTTCCAGTTTGATCAGAGAGAGAGAGAGGGAAAGTGAGAAAGAAAGTCACCAGGTCCAGAACTTGAACCATGGTTGGCCATGTGGGATTTCAGCATCTTTAACCACCACACCATCTGCTGGCCCCTCTCCCATTTTCAAAGAATGTACAATACATCAAGAAAGATATGTAACGTGGTGAAAATATTACAAAATATAAATCAGGAAAAATAATCGGTGCCAAGCTAGCACTGTCAAGAGATTCATGGAGGCGTAATTGTACCTTTAACCTAATTTGGCTAGTGGAGGCTTAAGGTAGAAACTAAAGATTAAAATCGTTTAAATAAATACGATTGTATCAGACAGCGAAAAAGAAACTACACATTCTGTATGAAGGAATGAGAAGAAAATGCCTGGACAGATGAAACAGAGTGAAGATTAAAAAAAAAATTGGCTAAAATGAAAGACAACAGCCCCGGTGCCCACACCGCTGCACTGCCTCGTGTGCACTGTTACGATAGTCCCAGAGCTGCATTTGCACCTTCACTTCACTACTTCTCCGTGCTATCACCTCAACAATTTCCCTAAAGTTCAGACTGTCTCCTGCCTAAAACCCTTTAAAGTTTCTATCTGCCATGACAGTAATTCTCAACCGTTCCATTCTTAAGATCGCATCAGGTGAATTTTTACATGTATAACAGTCCGAATAACAGATGCAGTATTTGGGAAGGTAGAAGAGGACTTTTAAGAAGAAAAGCAAAGAGTGACAGAAATTCAAGTGGACAGTATGCACAAAAGCTTTTTGAAAATATGTGACTAATGAAACTGACTAGTTACAGATGTCTCCTCTGAAAATATGCCTTTTACATGAAAAACCATCTAACTTAATTTTTTAATATTAAGCTTTGTAGACATTTATATTTTTCAAGTTCTTTACTGATATTAATAAATGATAAACTTATATCATTGACCTGTAGTCATCAAAGAACCTTATTCTTTAATACACATAATGTGTAGTTTTAACAGACTACAAATAAGCACTGTGGATTTTTATTGTCCTACATCATTTGCTTGCAATTGTATAACTTGTGTCATGGTGCTAATATATGCCAGTCATTCTTGGTCAGTTGACTCTTGCTGATTTTTTTTTTTTAATCTACACCTACCTCCTTAAAGATTTAGTCTTTGATCATTTATATTTGAAAAGGTAACAGTAAAATTCAACAGACAAGTCCTACAATAATTCATAATTACTATTCAATTATAATAGTGGTTGTTAACTAAAGCTATGTCATAAATAAGCAAGACCGTTGTTCAAGCTGTATTCTTCTAAGTTATTACTGATGTAAGTTTATTCTTTCATCTTTTTCTTAAGAAATTATTTTAAAATTCAAGGAAATAAAGGTATTTTTAGGGTGATGCCATTTTCTAAAAAGTCATTCATGGGACCAGCACTTAGCGTAATGGCTATGTTGCCGGACTCTCATGTAGTCAACTGTGGTTCAAGTCCCGAACCCGGTGGCTTAAATTCACGTAGGAAATGAGTGTGTGCATGCCCAAGATCCCGAGAGGAGAATGGAGGAGAAGGGATTGTGGAATGGCCATCCCCTCAGGGAGTAATTTCTCACTTCCTGTCTCTCTGTGTCTTTCCGGCGAGCGCAGAGGGACAGGCCCTCCAGAAAAAAACCCTCCAAAAAAAAAAAAAAAAAAGTCATTCATATGCTATTTTTTAATAATATTTAAATATCACTTTGTTTACAACACAGCTGGACAATCAAGTACCAAATGTTAGAAATGACTGGAAAGGTTGACAATTCACTGGCCCACAGGCCGAAGTCCAAATTTCTCAGCCTACTACATAAACAAAGTTGTTCTGATTGGCATTTACCTATTGCTACAGCTGCATTTCTTACCACTCAACTACATGTCCCTTAGGCTCTGGTTTTAAAAAATTAGAGTTTCACCAGGGCCATTCTTCCTGCCTAAATTGCCTGCCTGCTAGTTTCCATCCCACTGGTCCAGGGAACTGCATTCCTCCTTACAGAATTTGATAGCTGCCACCCAAGGAAAGCATTCTTTTTCTGTTCTTGTCTTTTCTGTTCCCAGTCTTTCTATTCCCCATACACTCAAAGAGTGGCCAGATACCAATCACGTTGTAATGTTTGTCAATTAGAACGTCAGCTCCTTAGAGATAAACACTGCTCTTTTTCTTTGTGTTTCCATTATCTATGTATTGCATATAAAAGATATAAGGCAAACATACTGTCTGTATTGCATACAAAAGAATACAAAATAGCTGTGACCAAAACAAGTCCCCAAGTACACTATTATACCTGTCTAATAATCTAAAATAGAATCCTATTCACTTTTAAACTTAAAAAGAAAACACGTGGGACCAGCAGATGGCATAATGGTTACATTGCTGGACTCCCACCACAGTTCGAGTCCTGGACCCGGCCGCTTAAAGCTCATGCTGGGTGCGTGTACGTGTGTGCCCCAAATCCCAAGAGGAGACTAGAGGAGAAGAGACTGCAGCATGGCCATCCCCTTTGGGGAGTGCATTCTTGCTTTCTATCTCTCTCTCTGTGTCTCTCTGGTGAGTACACGTGCCCTATAGCAATAATCCCTCTTTTTTTTTTTTTTTCTTGAGAGGTTTTTGCTATAGGGCGCATGCACTCACCAGAAGGACAGAGAGCTAGAAAGCGAGAAATCAGCCCCCAGCGGGGATGGCCACCCCTCAATCCCTTCTCCTACATTCTCCTCTCGGGATTTTGGACATGCATGCACATGCACCCAGTGTAAGTCCAAGCCACCAGATCCAGGACTCGAACCACGGTCAACTACATGGGAGTTCAGCAACATAGCCATTATGCTAACTGCTGGTCCCGCAATAATCCCTCTTAAAAAAAAAAGAAGAGAAAACATGAGGTGAAATAAAATGTTTAGTATTAATAGAAACATTTCTTAACCTATATAATACATTCAAACTTATTAATGCAGTAAATAACTATAAAAAAAGACTTAAAACATATTACTTTACCAATCTTAAAAGGTATTAGTTATATAACCACTCATTACAGAGTCCACAACGTATATACATACATATTCTAAGTTCATGTTGCTTGTAAAAGCTATTTTTCTCTCCTAAAAATCTGAAGAAGTATATTAGCTATAAACTCCAACATAAAACTTCCTAAATTAGAGTTGCCATGTGACAAAAATAATGAAAATATTTCCCCAAAATGATCCATTAGTAAACAATCACTTCTTTATTGCTGAGAGAGAGTAGTCCAAGTGAAATTAATGTCAAATTCTGTCTCTAATATTTTTTAAAAACTTATTTCATACTTACTATCTAAACTATACCACAGGCAATGAGCAACACAACATCTTGGGGGATGAGGATGACATTAATCAATGATACCTGCTAGCATTAAAAACAATAATCACAGCAGTTTTGTTTTGTTTTGGTTTGGTTTGGTTTTCGGTGCCTTTTCAGTTTCAGCGTGGCTGTGCCTACCTGGCTTTTATTTGGCTTTTCCTAGCAGCTGCTTCACTAGCAGTCATCGGTTCAGGAAGAGCTGAAGGAATAGAAGAATTCTTGGAAGAAAACACACAACATTTTTTATCTTAGTTTTACTTTAATGGCAGAAAACTTTTTTTTCTAAGTCTATGGATACATTATACAACTTAAAATACACTGTCTATAGATACTATTACTTTGATATCATATACCTAAAAATTGTTTACTTGGGGACCAGCAGTTAGCGTAATGGCTATGTTGCTGGACTCCCATGTAGCTGACCACAGTCTGAGTCCCAAACCCGGTGGCTTAAACTCATGCCGGGCACGTGTGTGTGTGCGTGCCCTGATCTCGAGAGGAGAATGGAGGAGAAGGGACTGGAGTGGCCATCCCCCCTGGGGGTGATTTCTTGCTTTCTGTCTCTCTTTCTCTGTCTTTCTGGTGAGCACACGCACCCTATAGCAAAAAACAAAAAGGCTCAAAAAAAAAAAAAAAAAAAATAAGATAGTTTACTTGTGCTTGCCAAATCTCATCTGCAAATATCACCACACGTTAAACAAACGTCACTTTCATATTCGTGTTCCAAACTCAGAAAATAGCAGAACTATTAGAAAAGAGAAGAATCATTGTGACTACTTCACAAATGAGTAAATGTTTTTTTTGTTTGTTTGTTTGTTTATCTGTTTGTTTTTGCTTATAAAACTGAGGGACAGAGGCTGGTATTTTCAACAGGATCTGGACATGCCGAGCTCCATCTGCCCCAGCCTGCCAGCTAGCAAAGATGGCAGGAACACACCACTGCACCCAACCTGCTTTCAGACTGCTCTGGGAACCGAACCCAAGCATCCCACGTGGCTCCAGCCTCATGTTGTGGTGCCTTACCATCTGTACTACCACAGCTGGGCCCAAGTGGGTAAATCTTAGGCAAAATGAAGAAGATTACATTTGTAAATCAAGGACTATTTTGCATTTTGGAAAAAGAAGCCAAAACCAAGGATAAGAGCAAAGAGCTTTTTCTAAATATCACAGATAATTTTCCTAACACTGACTATAAGCTCTTGAAAATGAGAGTCCCAATGTTTGGCTCACAGTGGATAATGAATATTTGCTGAAATAAAAAAAGCTAAAAATCCACAGTCAAATGTCAAACAAAGCTACTTTCATTATTAGAATATCAGAACATTTAAACTTCAACAGAGAAAATATTATACTGACATGGTAAGGACTTCAGAAATCAAAAAGGACAAGTACCACATTCCTTCTTTTGTCTTAGTGGGGTAGATTAAGTAGTGCATAAAAAGAACAGTAAGAACAATTCAGGCCAGAATCATCTTTTAAAAGTTGAGAACGGCATAAGGGCAGTGATGATTCTAACAACATTTATTAAGATTAGCAGACACTTGGTATACTCAATTCATCTGTATTAAGTGTACTGGTCCAGATAGTAAATCAAATTTGAAGTTTCTGAATGTTAGCTATTATCACCAACTTAGCACCCTTAATGGAACAGCCACTGGGTTTTATATTTATTAGTTATAATCCTTATAATTACTAGCCTTGTTTCACAGGAAAAAAAAAAGAAAAAAGAAAACACTGGACATTAAGGAACCTAAAAGCTACAAAATCAGTCACCAATAAAAACAGTATTGAACCCAGGACTCTTCACAATTCCTATACTCTTTACATCAAAGATTCCCAAACTTTCTCACTTAACAGAGCACTTACTATCTCAGGTTTGTTTGTTTGTTTTTATTTATTTAAATTTACTAAAGTGTACATGTGCTCTTTGGAGACAGAGCAAGAAAGGACCCCCCCGCCCCCGCCCCAGGAGGATGGGTATACCACAATCCCTTCTCCACCATCCTCTTCTAAGGATTTTCAGCACTCACGTACATGTGCCTAGCGTGCTTTTCAAGCTGCAGGGTACGGAACTGAAACTGCACAGTCTACGTGAGATCCAGCCACCTTAAAGGCCACACCACCTGGCTGGCCTTTATCTCATGTATTTTTCATGGCTCTTCTAGGCCAAGAAAGGTTAACAATCCTGCTGATTAATAAATGGTAAGGCCCAAGCAACTTAATAAATACAGGGCTATGTCAGATAGATGTCACTGTGTTTCTCTCAAAAATGCAGTTTGGGAATGGCAGCTTTATATTAAAAATACAATCTGAGGGAGACCAGCAGTTAGAGTAATGGTTATGTCGCTGGACTCCCATGTAGTCAACCGCGGTTCGCGTCCCGGACCCGGTGGCTTAAAACTCACGCCGGGCATGTGTGCATGCGTGCCCAAGATCCCAGGAGGAGAAAAGAGAAGGGATTGGGGTGTGGCCATCCCCCCGGGGGGTGATTTCTGGCTTTCTGTCTGTCTCTCTCTCTGTCTGTCTGGCGAGCACACGCACCCTATAGAAAAAACCTCTAAAAAAAAAAAAAAAATACAATCAGAACACTAGCAGACCAGATTCATGAAATGACTAATTCTGAAATGATGTGTATTTACACACAATAAAATGGATTTAAATAAATATCCTACTTGAAAAACTACTTACATTGATGTTAGAGATTGGGCAATCCTTTTTGGCAAATTTAAATGCAAAATAGGACACTTGAAATATATCAGGTCTATGCTCTGGATCTGGTTCAAGCATGAACCCTGCAAGAATAGATCAAAATGTTATGAAGTTTTACTGAACACAGATGCTATTTAGGGGCACATTATAAGGCTAAAAAAATATAAAGATGATTCCCATTTTATGATGGTTCAACTGACAATTTTTTGGCTTTACATTACAATAATATGAAAGCTATACACATTGGGTAGAAACCACATTTTGAGTACCATACGACCATTCTGTTTTTCACTTTTAGTGCAGTATCCAATAAATTACGTTAAGATATTCAAAGCTTTATTACAAATAGGCTTTATGGTAGTTGAGTTTCCTCAACTTTAGGCTAATTTAAGTGTTCTGAGCACATTTAACGTAGACCAGGCTAAGCCATGATTTTCAATAGGTTAAACACATTTTCTACTTGTGATATTTTCAATTTACAGTGGATTTATTAGGATGTAATTTCATCTTAATGAACATCTGTATATTTTCTCTTCCATTCTAAGATCAGTGATGACTCTAACAAATTTTGCTGATATTTGCAGAGAATACAGAAATTGCTATCTTATAAATTAACTTAAAGCCCTGTCCCAAGCTAATGGCAGATCATACAATAACTCCGCAACAAAAATATGAATGACAAATAAGATCAGTCTCTTGAAAAAGTAACATAAAACAAAAACTGACTTTCCCTCTCTCTCTCTGCATCTCTTTCTCGCTGGTCAAATTAAATAATAATAATGAATAAAATTAAATTAAAATTTTTTTGTAAAATACTGGTTTTAGTGAACACTGGAGAATAAATTCAAGAAAGTGCCAATTATTTTGAAGATACTTAAAAATAATTTTAAAAATTCTATTATCTAAAAAAACCTCTATCAATTTTTTTTTTAAGGGTACATTAGGGGGACCATCAGATGGAGTAATGGTTAACATCTCTGAACTCCCAACATAGTCGACTGTGGTTCATGTCCCAGACTCGGTGGCTTAAAATTCATGCCAGGCACACATGGGCCCAAAATCCTGAGAGAATGGCCATCCCCCTGGGGGAGGGGTTAGGTCTCGCTTTCTGTCTCTCTCTCTCTCTGTCTCTCTCTCTCTCTCTCTCTCTCTGGCAAGTGCATGCACCTTATAGTAAGAATTTCTTTTGGAAAAAAAGGGGGAGCATGTGTGGGGTTGACAGGTGGCATGGTGGATTAAGGCACTGGACTCACACATAAACGATTGCGGTTCAAGTCCCAGACTTGGTGGCTTGCTTTCTCACTTTCCCTGTGTCTCTCTCTGTGCCTCTCTCAGGTCAAATTTTAAAAGTAATAACAAATAAAATAATTCTTTATTTTAAAAAATTCTTAAAAGGGGCATGTGCATTCACTGGAGAGAGAAAGAGCCACAGAGAAAGAAAGTGAGAAACCACTTCCCAGGGGAGTAGGTATGCCTCAATCCCTTTTCCTCCACTCTCCTTTTGGGATTTTGGGGCACTCATGCACATGCACCAGGTGTATTTTCCAAGTCCTTGGGTCTGGGATTTAAATGTGTACTTGGCCACATGGGAATCCACTGCCTTTAACCACCACGCCACCTGGCTAAGTCCACCTCTATTAATTTTTCAATGTGATCCTGAATGATTCATTTTAAAAAGCTAAATTACTACATAATAATCTATGTAAGAAAGTAGTACAGAACTGGCACTATAGTTTTCCAAAAACATTTTTTAATCATACTAATGCTAATGATATTCACTATAGTTCATATTTCAACACGTTATCATTTCTTGTTCAAAAGAACAAGCAGAGTTTTATGGGTCTTTTACAGATTTCACAGCAACCTTATAGCATGGTTTGAAATGCCTGAAATTTTTTCTTAAAAAAAAAAATAACTCTATTACTATTTGTTTTTCCTTGAATGTCTTTAATTAAAAATTTTAAATTTCACAAGAAAGTTAACATTTATACTGAATTCTATAACTGAAAAATTCACATTTTATTAAGATAGTGCCATGTCTAATGCTGCTTCATTAACTCTATGTTCTTTTTTTTTGACCAGAGAAAGACAAAGTGCGAGAGAGAGGGAGAAGGAAAGCGAGAAAGCAAGTCAGATCTGGGATTCAAACCACAGTCAGCCATGTAGGAGTCCAGCGTCCTTAGTCACCACACCACCTGCTGGCCCTGGGTTCATTATATTTAAATTAATTTAACTACTGGAAATGTAAAACTTACAGCATTAAGTAGATAATATTCTAGTTTGCTAATAAAACAATGTATATAGAAATCAAACTTTATAAATGCCTAAGATAAAATTATAAAACAAAATGAAATAAATCTTCTCTTCAAATTTAAGTAATATTTTGAATAAAGAACATGCAATTTATCTCCAATGATATGATAAACTCATTCTGGCTAAAAAAAATAGAGTGTACCAAATGAAAATGAACACAAAACTTGGGAATTTAGAGAGGAAAGCCTGAGTTCTATTTAAAAAATACAAAGGTTCTTTAAGTAACCTGATTTGATATATTTAAGATGCTAACATATATCACATATAAAATTTATTTTTATAATTATATCACCATTGTTAAATTAAAATAACTAAAAACATTCCAAGATTTATTTATATGTATTCAACCTCATTTCAGAAAAGCCTTAAGGGATCTACGAGTTTTATTTTTTTCCACTAAAAGTATTTTATCTTGAAACCAACAGAAAATAAATTTTTTAATTTATTTCATTCAATTTCATTCATTCATTTATTTTAATTTGACCAGAGAGACACAGAGAGAGAGAAAGAGAAAGAGAGAGGAAAGTGAGAAAGCAAGCCACCAGGTCCAGGATTTGAGCCATGGTCAGCCATGTGCGATTGTCCAGCCCCTTAACTACCACACCACCTGCTGGTCCCGATAATAAAATTTGTTAACAGAAATATTTTGCTATAGGGCATGTGTGATCACTAGAGACAAAGGGAGAAAAGTGAGAAATCACAGCCCCCAGGGGGATGGCCATGCATCAGTCCTTTCTCTTCCATTCTCCTCTCAGGATTTTGGACGCAAACACACATGTGCACCCCAGAGTGAGTTTCCAGCCACTGGGTCTGGAATTCAAACCATGTGGGAGTCCAGTACCTTAACCACTACACCACCTACTGGACCCATTATTACATGTTTTACAAGTTACACCAGTATATGAGATGAGGATAAATTTAAACATATTTTTAACACTAAATGCTTACTCATGTAATTTTTTAAAAGAAATCTATCAAATACACAAACTTATGATCTAATTTTCCTATTCCAAGAATTTAAGTTCATCTGTTTTTTTTTTAATCTAACTTTAAGAGTAGCTAATTAAAATATGTATTTCTATAAAGGACTTAGCTTATAAAACTATAATATTTTTAAGTAAGTAAGAAATTTAGGACCATTGGAAAAATAATGGCTGAGGAAGGTAATGGGGATACGATAATGAGGTCATTAGAGAAACTGCTTAGGAGTGTATCTTAAATGTACGTCCAAAATTCAGCTCTTTACCTTCTAGCTATCAATATAAATAGGTCAACAAGATTCATTACATGAATCGCAGTGTTCTTAACACAAAAACAAACCAAGTGCTAAGGAAAAACACTATTCCTGATACCGAAAGAAAGCAAATTCTCCCTGAGTCTCTTTAAGGTGTCTCACAGGGTGAAAAATTTAGGTATTGCAATGAGTGAAACTATGGACTAGTGGCATGACTCCTACATGCAATTCAGTTGGAGAAATTCTACAGGGCTAGAAGATAGGATGATAGAAGGACACACTTACTTTGTGTTCTAGATTAATCCAAGAAAAGCTTTATAAATATCTAAAGAGAAACAGAATAATCCTTCAGGCAATTCCTTTCTTTCCCTTTCATGACAGTTGAGAAGTTTTAAGGGAAAATAAATAAATTTGAGATTTTATGTTCTAAGTAGTACTGATATGGGTAATTCTCTAAAGTTAAGCACATCACCACATGTTCTAATGATTAGGTACCCAGGCTAAAGGTACCAATGGAACTGTTATTATCTTATAAACAAACAAAGGCAACTTTGATTCTTCTGACCCATTTTTCCACATGGGAATATATATGCTAAAGCCCGTTTAGTCTGTCCAACTGTAGTTTCCCCATTTATGTGACATAAAATCAATTCAAAAGGTCATGGCTAGTATTTATTTTAATGAAGTAAAACAGAAAACAGAGTATATTAATGTAGTAATTACAAACAATTTTTCATGAAACTTGACCCAGTTTACATGTGTGTGTGTGTGTGTGTGTGTGTGTGTGTGTGTGTCTGTGTGTACTCCAGGTTGCAACCAGAATGTATTTTTTACATTAGGTCAGTGAGAAAACTCTGAAATCATTGTGCTAATATAGTACCATGGCCTCTCTTTACTAGTATAACTGTTTCCCCTTAGAAAACAACAGTGATTTGTGGAACCAGCAGGTGGCATGGTGGCTGGGGTGCTGGACACTCCCACATGGCCAACCACGGTTTGAGTCCTGGGCCTGGTGGCTTGCTTTCTCAGTTTCTCTCTATTTCTCTCTGTGTCTTTCTCTGCTCAAATTAAGAATAAAATAAATAAATAAAATAAAATTTTCAAAAAGAAAAAACAGTGATTTGTCTAATTGTTAAGACTAGAAAATAGAAGCACATGCCTACATGTGTCAATCTTGATGCACTTTTTTCTTTTTTGGAGATTTCTGGTACAGAGTGCATGTATTTGCTGGAGAGACAGAGAGACAGAAAGTGAGAAATCACCTCGTGGGAGGATGGTCATGCAGCAATCTCTTCTCCTCCATTCTTCTCTTGGGATCTTAGGCATGCATGCACACACACCTGGCGTGAGTTTCAAGGCACCAAGTCTGGGACAAAAACCCCATTTAGCCATGTGGGAGTCAGTCCAGCGACGTATAAACATTATGCCATCTGCTGGTCTCAATGTACTTTTCTTTTAGAACAAGTTATTCTCAGACTGTACATGTTCTTTGCTAATCTCTTTTTTATAAGTGGACTGCCTCTGTGGAGGAAGTAC